GACTGAAATTTTCCGTCAAAATGGCAGCTCTCTCAATAGTTGTAACTTCCTTCTCACAAACGTACGAATGGACGTCTGTGGGGATATCTCTAAAATACTGCTCTAGTGCCATCAATTCACAAAGTTCATCATAGGTTTTAACTCCACTAGCCGATAACCATCTGTTGCCCAATTTATTGACAGTGTGACCATATTCGATATATGACTGATCGGGCAATTTGAATATATTTCTAAACTTATCTCTATATGACTCTGCTGTCAAGTGGTAAGATTTCAAAATGGCTTCCTTGACCACAGAATACTCGTTTTGCTGAGAGCTGGCTAGGGACAAGTAAGTGGAACGGCCTTTGCCCACAAGGACAGACTGGATCAGCAAGGGCCAATACTGCTGAGGCCAGGAAAGAGGTGTGGCAATCTGCTCAAATTGGATGAAAAACTCTTCCGTATCATGTTCTTCAAATTTTGGTACAAACTTCGTCAGTTTAATTACATCAAACTTGACGTCACATGACTCCAGAGTAGCTTTCTTGTCCAACAACTCTAACTTGAATACCCTTTCTCTTTCCATGTCCTCCATTGCTTTTTCCTGTAACCTTAGCTTCATTTCCTACTCCAGCTTCTCTCTTTCTAACTGCAACTCTATTAACTTTACTGACGGACCTTCCTCCATCTCACACAGTTGGAACGCAGAGTCATCCAAAATTGACTTTTCCACCAATCTTTAATTACTGCATTTTTGATAGTTGTCTTTTTCCAGTTTGACTTAATCTCTACTTTATAAAGCTTAGCCAACGAAACTCAGTCATCTTTACGAACGGTACTACATACCAGACTTAACACTGAAGGTCCAACAATGAACTTAGATAAATCAAGAGGTTTCATTTTAAACATATATGGCAACTTACCGACTAGTGGAGAAAACTTGTACCAAAAAATTATTCGCAAACTTCTCTCTTGATGATTTTAACTGTTTAACTTAATTTAAGTTAATTTCATCATAAATCTCCTGGACAGGCACCCTTTTTGTTATGCCATAGCTTATCAACTTGAATTAATTTAAAGATTAATATACTAATGAGGGCACATATGGCACAACAAAAATAAAAACAAAAAACAAATTGGCAACTCAGCACATCTTATTCCTGGGTTCAAGCAGCCCTCTTTATCCCAAGAGTTCGGGAGTGAAGGTTTGGAATTATACACATTGCAAAAGATTTAAATGAAATTTAATAACAAAAAAATTACCATACTAAATGTGAAGGTTCCATCATGAAGAGATAAATTAAATCAAGAGAATAAATAATCAACATAATCCTGAGTAAACCACTGATATATGCACAGTAAATAAACAATAAACTACTTTGTAATATCACCATTGATTGCACTTTACACCCATAAATAATACTAGAGCAGCACTGAAAAATTATTTCTCAAATAAACCTGATTTGAAAAGGTATCCACCACTGACAAACTCAAACATCCTTCCAACTCCAAGGCCAGCCAATGACTGACATCATTCCATACTCCATTGGACTACATATCTAATACTAATATTAATCAACTCTCACATTAAGCAATCGAAGCCCCTAAGAAAAATAAGGATCTACATGTTACTAAAGCAGATAAAGCCAACCCAGTAGTGATTTTAAATAAAGATGATTATTTTTCTAAAATGAATGACCTTTTATGTGATGTTGCAACATATTCTAAGCTCATAAATAATCCTCTCAACACAGTTAACACTCATTTTAACAAAAAACTTAAGCCTAATATCCCAGCAAGACCCATCATTAGCTCAGTTGTGTCAATCACTTATAAGTTATCTAAACGGCTAGTTTCTCTACTAAATCCCCTAGTTGGCAACATTTCTAACTCTAATATTACGAATAATATGGATCTGGTTGATAAACTCAATAACTTACACGTTAATTATGATTTTAAACTGGTTAGTTTTGATGTAACATCACTCTTTATAAAGGTCCCAGTTGATGATTTACTGGAGTTCTTCACAGATTCCCTGGATAACATTTCGTTGCCTGTCTCGAAAGATGACTCTATCGAACTTATCAAACTATGTATTAAAGTTTGTAAATTTGAATTCATTAGAGAATATTATGCTAAAAAAATTCGGTATGGCAATGGGTAATCCGCTTTCACCAGTATTAAGCAACTTATTGTAAGGGCGGAAACGATCTTCCTGCTGGTTACCGCTGCTAACTCGCTCGTTTGCTGGTGCGGACGACACTTGGGGCGGTTGGACAGAGGTGAGAACGGCAGCTTCTATCTGGGTCACGGGCAGATTCAACCCAGCCGCCATAGTCACTATCTAGCTACCCCTCTGTTCGTCAAATTCTGGCTGTGATCTCATCATAGGTCCTGGACTCGTGGGCTGTGTCCCCAGACCTTCACCTATCGACTGTCAATTCTCTGGTCATCTACCACTACCACATACCACGACCGTCAGTTCATCTCATTCCGTCTGTGCCCCGGTGTTCTGCCATTTCAAGAAGTCGCTCGAGTGTGGAGTTGAATGGACGCTTCCCTACCCTGAGTGTGGATCACCTTGTTCCAGAACCTTACCCCAGGGCCACTGCCATAGGAAATATCTGTTCATTGTTTGATTCTTTCAGTTGTTGACTCCCATTAATTGTTTGATTCTATTAATTGCTGACTCCCATTAATTGTTTGCTCCCTTTAATTGTTATTTGATGTTTGTTGAGTGGCGTCAGAGTTTTGTGTTATATTTTTATAGTAAAGAGATGTCAATCTCAAACGGTTGTTTGTTATTCCTCAGAAAACCATGGTCCGTGACTTTCCTTAATTAAGAACCTGATTAGTCTGGTTAGGGATTTCTATCCCTAAGTCCCAGGCCTTTACACTTATATATGGAATTCTTTGAGAAGAAACTATTAAGTAATATTTTACCACCTTCAGCATTCTGGTTTAGATATGTAGATGATGTAATATGTCTTTGGCAATGTAATGAGGACCTAAAAGCTTTTCTACCACAACTTAACAACTTAGCCCCCTCGATCAAATTCACAGTAGAATTACCATTCCTAGACTGTCTGATTCAGAGAATAGGTAACACCTTTATGTTCAGCATTTATAGGAAACCTACTAATGTGTGTTCATACATTCATTATTATTCTGCCCGCCATGTATTTTCATCAATGTTTTTACGTGCTCTAAGAATATGCAGTCTGGAATTCATTGAAAAAGAATATAAATATATCTATAATATTGTCTTGAACTTTAGTTACCCAAGGTCTTTTATAGACAAATGCCTTAACATTACTATGAAATCTGTTTATAGAACTGAACCTAAGCCCACCCATGACAATAAGAATCTCTTAGTATTACCATTTAACAAAAATTTATCTCAAGTTCCTATACAACTGATAACCTGGAACGTTGATGTGACATTTAAAAACTCATACACTGTAAAATAAATGTTAATTAAAAACTTCCCCAACAATGCAGGCGGCTGCATTTACAAGGTTCCTTGCAAGGAATGTAATATGTTCTACTTAGGCCAGACAGGTAAAGATCTTATAACTAGACTTAAACAACATAAATATAGTGTTAGGACAGGCAGGAATCCAATGCTCTTTTATTCATATGAGAGATAATAAGCATTGCATTGACTGGGATAATGCCTCCTCAATATTACCTTGTAATTCAATTGACGGTAGGAACATTATAGAATCCAGTCTCATTAAACATACCGAATCTGACAACATGAATTTGAGTAATGGTATGTACAAATTGGATAATTTGGTGATTAAGAAGATTTGTAACCAGGTGAGAAGGTTGGGTCATCTTACCCTATGACCTGACTACGGACAGCTGCTGTGCTTAGAGATAGCATGGTAATTTTTTTTTTATTAAGAAGATTAGTAAGGGTCACAGTATTATGACCGGAACATTGTGGACACCTTGTCCCCTAGGGACTTGATCTCACTCTCATCTACAGTATGTATTAGCCTTGTCAAGTATTAATCCTTAGACTGTACTCACCCCTGAAAATGTGAATTACACGAAAGCGCTTGGGAACTTCGTGTTTTCTTGTTTCCTTGTGGTTATCAGCATATACCTAGATCACGTGCACCTACAATGATTTATATATATATATATATATATATATATATATATATATATATATATATATATATATATATATATATATATATATATATATATATATATATATATATATATATATATATATATATATATATATATATATATATATATATATATATATATATACACACACATATAATATACTTTACCGTCAATGTATCTTACACCATCAGTCAAAATGCTAGATATTACTATTTGATTCAAGTACACTCTGTGGAAACTTGTCAATAACATTCCTCAGGAATATATATATATATATATATATATATATATATATATATATATATATATATATATATATATATATATATATATATATATATATATATATATATATATATATGAGAGGGATGGGTAATAGAATACTCTACATATAAATCCCAGGTTGCTGATCTGACTTTCTGCCTCATTTACACACAGTTGCAGGTTCTTAATTGTTTCTCTTACTTTGACAACACAACATACAGATATCGTTTCCCACTATTAATCTTTTTATTTGTATTTATTTATTGTCCATTGATAATAATAATAATTTTATTATTATTATTATTATTTTTATTATTATTATTATTATTATTATTATTATTATTATTATTATTATACTTTCGCCCCCCAGGCCACGATATGGGTCATTGACCTGTGCCCCAGTGGGCTAATCCCGTAAACAAAAAATTCATCCCGAAAGTAATTATCAATACTGTGAAAGAAAATAAGTGAAATACAAACGACATTCAACAGTTAATCAATTTTTTCAATATAAAAAAAAGTGTAGTAGGTAAGCAAAACTAATGTGAAGGATTATTCTTATGATCTTGCTGTAATATAAAGTGCAAACTATGTTCTCTACTACTGACTTTAAGTACTTCTCTGGGAATACATTCACTGCCGGGTCAAATTTTAATCCACTCTCAGCTGTCCATGAGGCGACTTTCATCACCTGGGCACCTCGAGCACTGTAGGGCAGGGACACATACGCCGTACACCTGTCGAAGTAGAAAAAAAATGCGGTTATCACAGCCGCATCCGTATCTAGAGGATGCGGATGTACCGATTTGTAGAGCTTGGTATTTTTTAATGTTTTTATAATACAAAATATTTATATAATATATTGATATATCATCACACACACACACTACTTACTACCCTGATGTCACTCGGAATCGAGTATGACGATTATGTATGTAATAGTGCTATTACATACTGAACATAAACATTAAACACACACACACACACACACACACACTACTACTACTTTGCTGTAACTCGGAATCGAGTATGATGGTCATCCAGCTATGACACAATGATATCGGTTATCAATGATGTCACCTAGGTTGGTGAGTTTTAAGGTGGCTAAAGGCCGACACGAGACCGGCAGAATCGTTCACGGATGTTGCACATGTGGATAGCTCCATCTAGTGCGGGAGGGGCGGCAGCAGCGTCCTTCCGGCGCTAGTGCTTATCTGCCTCGGTTTGCAGTCGGGCTAATTCAAAAGCATTGACAACTTCTCGTGTGGTGATCCTCCAAGCGTTACGGTATAAAGTGATGTTCTCCCATGTAAAGGGGATCGACTGGCACTTTTCAGGTATGTCTTAAGACTATCTTTATACCTTTTTAGTTGCCCGCCAGCATTACGTTTACTATTCGTTAGATGACTGTAAACTAGCTGCTTTTGCAGTCTACTGTCGTCCATGCGGGTAATATGGCCAGTCCAACGTAGTTGTTCATGGATAATGGTAGCCTCGATGCTCCTACAGTTGGTGTCAGCAAGAATACTGGCATTTGTTCTCTTGTCTTCCCAGCGAACTCGAAGGATAGAACGTAGACTAAGTTGATGAAAGTTTTCAAGTGCCTTGAGGTGCCTTATGTTTGTGACCCATGTCTCGCTGCCATATAGCAGAGTGGGGAGGACCACTGCTCGATATATATGTAAATTTTTAAATAATTTCAGCTCCCTACAGAGGAAGACACGGTTTCGGAGTCTGCCAAAGGTTTGAGATGGACATCTGATCCGATACTGAATCTCTTCATCGATGTCCGCGGTGGTGTACAGGTGGGAGCCGATATACCGAAAGTGGGTAAATTAGAGAGGGTAGATCCGTTAAGATGGATGGACGGTGGAGGTGTGTCTGAAAAAGGGGCAGCTTGTAAGAGAATCTGAGTCTTACGTACATTCACCTCAAAGCCGAAGTGTGAATACACCTTTTCATAGGTCTTCAGGATCTCCTCTAGGTCGCTTTCAGTGTGAGGAACAAGAATGAGGTCATCTGCATACTGAAGTTCAATAATGGAAGCTACCGACACCACTGTTCTTGCCTAGAGTCGTCTTATGTTGAAAAGACCCTTCATCCGGTACTCGATGTCCACCACGCCGGCTAAATTGGCACTGGCATGAGTAAGGAAGGCAGCCAAGAAAATGGAAAAGAGAGTCGGTGCCAGTACTCACCCTTGTTTAACCCCCTTTCGGATGGGGAAGAACTTAGACTGGGTGCCATTGTGCAGGACACTGCCGTTCATTCCAATGCGTAATTGCCTCACAATGGCGATGAATTTTGGGAGGCAGCCAAAATGGCTGAGGGTCCACCAGAAGGCTTCCCTGTTGACCGAGTCGAAGGCCATGGTTAGGTCGATGAAAGCCATTTACAGGTCACGACGCTATTTTCAGCACTTTTCCTGTATCTGGAGGGCAGCAAAAATCATATCAGTGGTGCCACGTGATGGTCTAAAAAACACATTGAGATTCTGGGTGGAAATTTTCAGCCTCAGGAAGAAGTCTGTTTAGGAGGACTCGGGCAATAATCTTCCCAGCTACGGGCAGCAGCGAGATCCCGCGGTAGTTGCCACAGTCTGTTCGGTCTCCCTTGGGGGATTTCCTCCTTTCCCAATTTATTCTCCAAGAGAGAGTGGAGATGGCTGGTAAGTAGAGGTCCTCAAACTTTATGCACCTCGGCTGGGATTCCATTAGGCCCTGACACTTTGTTATTTCTCATCTGTTTGATGGCAGTAGCTACCTCATCCAGGGATGGAGGATAGCTGAGGTAGGTCAGCTCTGGATGCTGAGGGACCTGCTGGGTAGTCAGGACATCCACCTCAGTGTTTCGTTTGATCAGTGAATGATAGTGCTCTTTCCAGTACTGAAGGAAGCCTTCATCATCTATATTTATGGAATTACCGTCGGATGAGCAAAGAGGGGCTGCGCCACTAGTGATTGGCTCATAAAATGTTTTGGTGGAATATAAAAATTCGCGCATCTAGTGCTGTTCTGCAAAATTTTGTTTTTCACATGCATTATTTTTTAACCAGTCATTCTTTTGATTGCAAAGTTCCCGCTAGCCACAGCTTTCTTCTTGTGGAGGGTATAAGCTTTGGTCCGAAACTGAGGGCTGTTCTGCCAGTCAGTTAAAGCAACGCGTTTATCATTGATGAGTACATTGATTGCTGGGTCAATTTCATCAAACCAGTCATTGTGTATTCCTTCGATCTGGCCGTGGGTCTCTGCAGGTTTTGATGATGACAGTGTTGAGCATATCTCATTCGGCACTGGGATTTGGGTTTTTTCGTCGTCGGATTGTTAATCAGCCCATGTTCGAGTTGCTCTCTGAAAGCATGTGCTACCGCTGGATCCTCCAGACGCATAGTGTTAAAACCTCTTCTAGAGGCCTGTTTGCCTTCGCCGTTCTAGGGTAACGTGAAGTGAGAGCTTAGCTCTGACGAGCCAATGATCAGTGTCGCAGTGGTCTGATCCATGCATGGCACGAGTGATGTGGACATGCCGGCGACCTTTTTCTCTGACAATGATGTAGTAAATGAGATGCCAGTGTTTGGATCGTGGGTGTTGGCACGAACCCTTGAACTTATCGGCCTGCCTAAACAAGGTATTGGTGATAGTGAGGTTGTGTGCAGCATACTTGCTGAGGAGGAGTTGGCCTTTGGAATTACACTTTCACACTCCATTTCTCCCTACATTTCCCTGGCAAATGTCAGCATCTCTTCCAACTCTGGCATTGAAGTCACCAAGGGGCACAACCTTTTCTTCTCTGGGGATATAGGTTAGGACTCTGTCAAGGTCGGCGTAAGAAGCTTCCTTGATGTCATCCTCTGCATGCAGTGTTGGGCATATGCACTGATGAAAATGGCAAGACGTAAGTGATTCAGTGGGACTCGGGGCGTCATGAGGCGCTCGTTGAACCCAATAGGCATTCCAGTTAGCCTGTGTATAGGATGCATTGGCGTATGGCAAAAAAACTCCATAAATGCAATTTCTTTCCGCAGCAGGCTTACCCTTCCAGAAAAAGGTATAGCCAGACCCCAGTTCTGTGAGTCGACCCTTGTCTGGGAGCCGGGACTCACTAATGGCTACTATGTCGATGTTATACCTAACCAGCTCTTATACCACAAGGGCAGTTCTTCTTTCAGGACGCTCATTTGTGACAGTATCCAGAAGGGTCCTGACATTCCAGGTAGCGACCATGTGAAGTTGTATAGTTTGTTTTTGTTTGGATCTGTGATTTTGATTGTGTTTTCGACTGCATAAGGATGACCTTACTAGGTGCGTTTGCTGAGTGAGGTAGGTTTTTAGACAGGCTATGTTTAGGGCACCTTTTCTAGCCCCCTCCCCATGTGGGGTGAGCAGAGCGGCTCCTCGAAAGGGCTGTTCAGTCGCACAGACAGAACCTGATTGCTCTGCTGCCTAGATCCCAATGCATAAATGACCATGTTATCTGTGCCGCCCATGTGCAGAGTTGTGACTAAAGACTCCCGGCAGTCATCTCTGCCTGTCCCCATCGCCACTCGTCCGTCGCCATAGGACTTTTGGGGGTATAAGGGTTTAGATGATGATGAAAGGTATGATGAGCTGGATGATGGCTGCAAGTGAGTTGATTTATGTGGTAAGGCAGGAGCTCAGGCTGCAACCACACATGTTGGCTTTCCCTTTTCCTGATCCAGTTGTGCAAGTGTTGCAACGACTGGAGAGAGGGAGAGTTGCAATGGACTACTGCCAATAGCCCAGTTTGTTGGGTATCTCCTTAATTGCCTCTCCATTATGCATTGCCTTCATCCACTGGTGTAGTCGTTGTGTTCCCATGGTGGTCATGTCTTCCACCTATACCGCCGTTGGGGTCTTGTTGGAGCTCTGTAAGCATGTCTGCCTGATGCGAGGCTCCACCGCCGATTTTTTGTCTGGAGTTTACTCCCGTAGCCTTATACCTCCCAAGGTTAATTCGCAAAGGAGCGGGGCAGTAGTTGGTAGGTGCCAGGACGTGTTCACATGCCAGTGGGTCTATGCGCTGTCCCTCTGGGGCCCACTGCTACTCCAAGATCCCATGCTGGTCTAGCCTTGGCCTACGAGGCACCCAGTTACCGTGTGTTGCCGGATCCAAAGACAATTTCCGACATTTGTGTCGGTTCGTATTATGGTGCACCTGACGATTTTTACAGTCGTAAGTGATTCAGTGGGACTCGGGGCGTCATGAGGCGCTCGTTGAACCCAATAGGCATTCCAGTTAGCCTGTGTATAGGATGCATTGGCGTATGGCAAAAAAACTCCATAAATGCAATTTCTTTCCGCAGCAGGCTTACCCTTCCAGAAAAAGGTATAGCCAGACCCCAGTTCTGTGAGTCGACCCTTGTCTGGGAGCCGGGACTCACTAATGGCTACTATGTCGATGTTATACCTAACCAGCTCTTATACCACAAGGGCAGTTCTTCTTTCAGGACGCTCATTTGTGACAGTATCCAGAAGGGTCCTGACATTCCAGGTAGCGACCATGTGAAGTTGTATAGTTTGTTTTTGTTTGGATCTGTGATTTTGATTGTGTTTTCGACTGCATAAGGATGACCTTACTAGGTGCGTTTGCTGAGTGAGGTAGGTTTTTAGACAGGCTATGTTTAGGGCACCTTTTCTAGCCCCCTCCCCATGTGGGGTGAGCAGAGCGGCTCCTCGAAAGGGCTGTTCAGTCGCACAGACAGAACCTGATTGCTCTG